ATCAACCGCCATGGGCTGTACTCCCGGTCCAGTCCTCTCGTCAGCAGACTCCTCCACGACATGCGGCACTTCCCCACCATCAGTGCTGGTGAGGCTCATGGGATCAGGCAGGACAGAGTGACTCTCTCCCAGAAAGGCTGGGCCAAGTATCTCAGGCCAGGCTCTGGGGTGGAACATTGACACTTGATAGACAGAAGAAGAACATAGACATTGATTTTTTTTTCCCCTTTGAAAGAGATCTTAGAACCATATCTCATCATGACCCCACAAGGGAGGCATAAGGTGTTCAGTACACTAAAGAAAGGCAGTCGCTTTCATTTACTGAGTGCTTCTTTTGAACCAAGCAATGCATTCTCTCTTATAAAATGACCTTAGGGCATAGACATTATTGTCACCATTTTACAGATGGGAAAACTGAGACTCAGAGAGGTTAAGTCACTTGGCCCAGGACCCAGGGGCAGAGCTGGGATTCAGACACAGGCCTGCTGGTGCTAAGCCTGTGCTCTCAAGCACTATGACAGTCTAAGCAACGTAGCAGATTATTAGTAGAGACAAAATCAGGTTTGGTCTCCTGGACTGGAGTGTCCACTGAAGAGCTAAAGAGTGTCGGGCCTGGGATGGAGCAAGGTGGAAGACTGAAGCCCAGGGAGAACCTCTACCGAATGGTCAAGGGCCCCAGGTTACATCAGTTTCACCCTCCGGTCTGAATCAGAGTCGAGGGCCCCGTGTGGTTGGCTCTCCCAGGAACTTGGCTGGAAGTTCTCACTACCCTTCTACTCCTTTGCAGATTACAGTCAGGACGAGAAAGCCTTGCTTGGGGCATGTGACTGCACCCAGAGTAAGTGACCCGGTCCTGCCTCCGTTCAGCTCCTATCCCTATGAACCCCAGCATCCTGTACTGTGGGGGCCTGCCTGGGAGATGAAGATGTGTGGCTCTCTCTGCCTAATCTGAGTGCTCAACATTTGTCCCCACCCACCCACACACAGAAAAGGCATTTAAGAGGAACTCTAGGATAGGACCCACTGGCCAGAATGGGGTCTGGAAACAAGCATCGTCAGCATCACTGGGAAGCTTGGTACGAGTGCAGAATCCCAGTCCGCTCTGATTTTCTGAATTTGAATCTGGATTTTAACCAAACCCTCAAATGACTGGAGTAGGTTTTCAGATTTAAGAAGCAATTATACAGGATGCTGGCAACCTAATACAATTACCTAGGGAGGTCTAGAAAGTGCCATTGCTTAGCCTCTGCCTCTGGAGGTTCTGTTTCAGTGGCAAAGGGTGAGGCCCAGGCAGCAGCATTTTTTTTTTTTTTTTTTTTTTTTTTTTTTTTTTTTTTTGGCC